CTATATGGTTTGCAACCGGGCATGGCAAAGTAGCCAATGGGCTGAACGTAGAGCACTGTGGATGGTGATCACCAAGGAGGTGACACCTATGGTAATCTGTACTAATACCTGGGTGGTCTATCAAGGGTTAACCTTGTGGTTAACTACCTAGAAGTTACAAAGGTGACTAGTTGGTCACCAGCCCCTGTGGGGCCAGGCCATGTGGCAAGACCCTATAGGAGGAAGGATGACCTCCTACTACCAAGTATGGGGACAAAAGGTAATCTGTTGTTGCCTGCCCCAATGCCTTTAAAGGTAGGGGAATAAAAACCCGGCTTAATGTATAAAGCAACATTGGGGTGATGTCACCATGAGGTGGTTGCCTGCCATAACCTGGAGCTGTTGCTTTCTGTGGTATTGTGTGTTATGAATTCAGGGCTCCACCCTATGGGCATGTGTCCCTGCCCAGAGGACACCCTTGGCCTAGGGGGTGGAGTGTAAGAGAGATGGCTGCGCTTTAGTCAGGAGTAGGCTGAGGTGGCTTTCTGGCACAGCGTGACTTAGCAGGTTTGGAGCGCAGTTGCACAACTCCACACGTTATGTAACCATGCCATGTGAGGCTCATTAGGTGATCACACACATGTGCTCGTGCTTGGCTTGGAGCCATTGTTGTCTGTAAAAGGTATAATTACCTGCGAATGCTGTACATACGGCCTTCACCCAGGTCGGCTTGCACCCACGGCTTACGCCCAGTCTTGCTTATGCCCAGAGAGAGAGTAAAAGCCATGTCGAAATTGTCTATGATCATTGAGTGTTATTCCAGCTGCCCACCACTGGTCCACCTACTCCCCTTGGTCCTCAGCTTGGACTGGAACCCGACACTTGGCATGACAAATACTTTAATTCATATATTGGCATCAGTTTGTTCATTTATTGGTTAAAGAATCTTAATGTTGACTAATTTGAGTAAATTTTCTGCTTTAATTTTTAACTTTCTAGGTAGATTATGATAATCATGCACTTTATAAACACGGAAAGACAGGTCGAAAACAGTCTCCTGTGCGTATTTTCACCAACATTCCACCCAACAAAATAATCCTTCCTACTGAAGAAGGGTACAGGTAAGATCAAAGTGGAATTTTGAGGTACACAAGTCACTGAAAATAAAGTTACATATATCTATCAGTCAAATGCTTTCAGTGTTGAATCATGTTATTCTTCTATTACTTTTAAATTAGGTCCATAATTTCATACTGAATTGAATTCAGATTGCACTCAGTTTTTGTAATGAGTGCTTTGTAAAGTTTTATCTACTCTGTAAATTTCAATAAATGTATGCAGCTGATTTCTCTGTCCTTTACTCTGTAGATTTTGCTCTCTGTGTCAACGATATGTTTCTCTAGAGAATCAACACTGTGAGCACTGTAATTCTTGCACATCCAAGGTATGGTGTTCTTATAGAATGTATTTTTATTTAAATATTTTCATTTTATTTTAGCTTACTAGTTTTATTACCTTTTAAATGTTATTTTGTTAATACGATTTGTATTAATATGTATTATCATTTATTAATTATGCTGTAATACAATATTTTAAATTATAGAGTACAACAGCTTTTAAAAATACTTAACTGCCTTCATCATCACCAACAGTCATTTGAATTCATCTTCAAATGGTACTTGGGACTACTAAAATTATCAGTGTTTCAAATAAGGCATTAAATGCATGCTCAATTATGTGTATGTTGAGGGAAAAATTATGGTGTTTCAAATAAGGCACTGACCTATTAGGTACCATCATCATTCTGGCGAAATAATTAATAACATGTACTGTGCACTTTTAATATGCCAGACACTTTCCTAAGAGCTTCGCATGGATGAACTCATTTAATCCTCACAACAGCCTTATTAGGTACAGTTACTCCTTGATTTTTTACAGATGAAGGACTGCAAAGGGACATACCTCCTATTTATTTATTTAGGTATTATTTTGTCTTAATACACTTGGTTCTTTAGAGGAGTTTTAGGTTCACAACAAAATCGAGCAGAAGGTACAGAGATTCCCCATATGTCCCCTGTCCTGACACATGCACATTCTCCCCAACTGTCAGCATCTTCCACCAGAGGGGTGCGTTTGTTACAAGTGATGGACCTGCATTGACACATCATTAACACCCCGAGCCTAGAGTTGACATTAGGTTCACTCTTGGTGTTTTACATTCTATGGGTTTGAAAAATGTATGACATGTTTTCACCATTACAGTGTCATACAGAGTGGTTTCACTGTTTTCACTAAAAATCTTTTGTGTTCTATCTATTCATCCTTCTTCCTGAAGGGTGTCTCTGGCTACCACTATCTTTTTACTGTCTCTGTAGTTTTTCCTTTTCCAGAATGTCACACAGTTGGAATTATATAGTATATAGCCTTTCAGATTGGCTTCTTTCACTTAGTAATAGGCATGAAAGGTTCCTTCATGTCTTTTCATGGTTTGATCGCTCATTTTTTGTTAGCTCTGAATGCTATTCCTTTGATATACCACAACTTGTTTACTCATTCACCTACTGACGGATATCTTGGTTGTTTCCAAGTTTTGGCAATTATAAATAAACCCCCTAATTTTTTAGGAAGGCAGGGTGACCCTTAAGTTGTTTTGTTTATTTTAACTAAATCTGGTCAGAAAGGGCATGTGAAGTTTAGTTTGGCTCATAAGCACAAATTATTCTCTAAAGAAGAGGCTGCATTTATATAAACATTAGAAAGTACATTTTTCATGATTATAGAATGGTATTACTGGTTATACTTGTTTTTAACAATGTTAATACATCTGATTGTTTATATTTAGTTTTTATTAGTTGAGACATGCTGTGTATTCTTCATTTAAAAAAAATTATGCCCAGATTGTATAGTTTAAAGTTGAGGGAAACAAACTTATTATTTAGAGATGCACACAAAGGTAGTAAAAGGAAGCAAGAGCTAGGAAATGACAATCACACAATTTAAAGAGGTGTCATTTGGAGGGGATGGGAGGAATGCTGTGACTGAGTAGGGGCACGGGACAGTTTCCAGAGGGCTGGTGGTATTCTTTCTTGACCTCGTGGGTTTTATCCGTGTTTGCTTTACAATACTCATTAAATTGGATATATTTTATGCACCTTCCTAGATATTTTTATTTCATAGTTTTAAAATTAATCAAACAGTAACCTATAATCTATCTTTCTAAATTATGTAAAGTTCTCAAATATGAATTTCATTAAGGATTATGCAGTATAGACACATAAAATTATGAATCATTAATTCTCTTGAAATTTTCATTTGAGTCCTTCTTTGTGCAGATTGGGTTGCTTGAACTGGAGTGGATTTTCAAGATCATTTAGATAAATCTCCTAGTTTTACAGTTAAGGAAATTGAGGCCCATCAAGGAGGCATTTGAGTTGAGTGGAGAAATGCATAAATTAAAATCAAAGTATTTAATTGTGAAGCCCAGAAAAGGCAGAAATAAGGAATGAATAATTTACACAGATTTTAATAAGACATTTTAATTTTTAATTGTAGAACTTGATTTTTAATAACAAATTAAATATAATTAAAAAATTTTCTTTTTTTGATAGGATGGCAGGAAATGGAACCATTGCTTTCTCTGTAAAAAGTGTGTAAAGCCTTGTAAGTATTGAGACTTAATGTTTGAGATCCTATGAACACATTTTAGAGTTTTTCTCCATCTAAATAGGATTTTTCATTGGATTTATAAAGGAAAAACTAATCAGGGTAGAGACTTGTAATTTATTTGCTTTTTAATTTTATAGTTATCAACATGTATGTTCTGCCTTGCAGGAGAGATGATTGCTCACCTGTTTCAGTGTGGCATTTGGTTTGACTAATTTTAATAAGGCATTGTGTCACTCAGCCAGCCTCCATTGTGACAGTAGCTGTCAGCTCATAACTTACTGGAGAAGGGCTGAATTTGTTGCATGTAACAGATAGAAGTTAGCTAGTTTATGTGGAATTCTAACCTCTTCTCCCTGGTCTGTTTAGCCAAACTAAAACTAGCTGTGCAAACTAGCCACAATATTTCAAGTAAACACTGTTCGTATATCCTACCTTAAGGTGAAACCCCGTCTCTACTAAAAAAAAAATACAAAAAAGTAGCCGGGTGAGGTGGCGGGCGCCTGTAGTCCCAGCTACTCGGGAGGCTGAGGCAGGAGAATGGCGTAAACCTGGGAGGCGGAGCTTGCAGTGAGCTGAGATCCGGCCACTGCACCCCAGCCTGGGCGGCAGAGCAAGACTCCGTCTCAAAAAAAAAAAAAAAAAAAAAAAAAAAAAAAAAAAAAAGTTAATAAGATGAAAAATTACGTTACATGAACTTCTTTTAAAACTTAATTTTTATTTTACAGCCTGGATCCACTGTAGCATTTGCAATCACTGTGCTGTTCCAGATCACTCTTGCGAGGGCCCCAAAGATGGCTGCTTTATTTGTGGTGAATTGGATCATAAACGCAGTACTTGTCCTAACATTGCTACATCTAAAAGAGCTAACAAGTCAGTCGAATACTTAACTAGAAAAATGTATTCCATCTGTGTTTTATACAGGGTAATCCATAAAAGCATGCAACATTTGGAGGATCTTAAAGTGCCAAGTTAATTGTCACTTTCACTATTATGTACTGGTTGCATAGATGGATGGAGAGAGGAGAGAAAGATGATTCAAAGAGCTTGCTTTCAAAGAGCTTACAGTTCTATAGCTTAGACATGAAAATAACCAAAATATGAGGTAGAAAGTGGTTAACTTTGCCTCTCCTTAGCTTTACGTCTCATGTGTAAAGTTACAGGGCTTGACAGTTCATGCTTTATTGAAGGACATGATATTTAAGTCAGGCTTTGAGGAACAGATCAGATCTAGACACACGATGGCAGGAAAGGCTGGAGAAGCCATTTCAGATTGAATATCAAGTAATTCTACAGTAGGCAAATTGTAAGAGAGCTATTTCTTTATATCAGATTTTAAGAAAAATATTTAGACATGCTTAATACTTAAATATTTGAAATTTTTATTACTTTTTTTCCTGTGATTATTTTCACATCTCTTACCAATATTTGGTTACAGTTATCGATTACAACTCAGAGTAAAGGGAGAGCAATGACAATAGCATATTTAGAAAAGGCATTGCTTCTAGAATAGTTATCCCCAAAATAAAACAAGACAAAACAAAAAAAGAAAAACACTGCTATTTTAACAGGGCTAATTTGAATGATTATACTTTTTTCCTAACTAAAAGGGATGATAGCGATTAAGTGCTCTTGCTTTATTGCTAAGAAAACTAATGTCACACAGTTATTAATTGGAGATTACCAGATAGCTAAATTTGACATTATGTGACATATGAAATTTCAGATTGGGCTACCATATGACTATGACTTGTAATTAAAGAAAAATGGATTCTTATTAGAAATATCTGATACTTTGGTAATTATTTATGATAATATTACAATTCTTTCCCATGTGTTTTATTTATTTGTGGTCAGTGAAATTTTTTTTTTCCATTGTGGTCCAACCACTTGAATTCTGGCTACCATTACAACTGCCTCGTTCCTACATTTACTCTACTTTAAATAATTATTTCCACTGAGTAATCCAGGATAAAGTAAAGTTTAAAAACTTAATTAAAGAAGCTTACTGAAGCATCTTATAAAATATTTCCCTTAGAATAAACCTTCAGAAATTGAATACAACCTCATAATCATATTGGTCTGGGATTGCTGTACCATTGTCAGTGTGATGCTGGGTGGTAGTCAGTAACATGCTCAGCCTTTAATTCTGTGAACTTACATGGAAACTGAATTTGCATTTTGATACTCTATTGTAGGCCCTTCATTGCTTCCTAAATATAGTCTATTTGGCAGTAATATACTATTTCATTAGGGGAAATCATCTAGTATCTTTCAGTACTAGATCTTATCAAGTTTAATTCCAAGAGCAAATCCTTTGAGATGTGGATGCCTGATAATTCTTAAATAATATTACTTTTTTCCTCAGAGAAGACACCTAAACTCCTATTAATAGTTACTGCTTTAAAAAAAAATTATTTTGAAATTGACAAAGCAAAATTATTTTTTTATTTACAATAGTGAAAAATAACAACCTTTTTAGCATACATGACATAAAAGGTCTTTCCATCTCAGGCTTTTTACAGCTGTCTTATATTAATTTGTTTTTCCTTGGTGTTAATTTTTCTTTAGTTGCTAACTGGAATGATGCTGGCTCCCTCTTGTGGTTAAAGCTCATTTTATCAGTTACATAAATATCTATAATTTAAAGGACAAATACTAGGTCAATTTAATTTTAAGAAAAAATAAAACTGACTTATAGTCAGTTCATCACCATTCAAAGACTTTATCTCTGGAAAGTTTTGTATATTCATATTACAAATGAATATTTTCAAATATTTTCCTCCTGTTTTTGTTTACCATATCCCCTAGTGAAATTTCATTCATTTTTAGTCCTGCTTATAAGTGGATGAGCCAAAGAGAAACTTAAATTTTGTGTACAGGCACACATGGCTTCACTGACTTTGCCATTAGAGATTATGCTGTATTTCATTAAGTTTGCTAAGTCATCACTTATCAAGAAAGTATCCTACTTCAAAAAAGTGGGGAAATAGATTTATATAGTATGCACTAATCAGTATAATACTATAAAGATAACTTTTTTGTTTAAGTTTTCAATCCTACTACTTCTGTAAACTGTTCTATTTTGAACTGATAAGGTATCCCTAGTCCACAGTGCAAAATTTAAATATGAAAAAATTTAAGGTTGTCAAGCAAAATTCTGTGGAATAGTCATGTGGAACTAATAATGGCTAATATTTATTGAGTGATTATTATATGGTTAGCAGTTTGCATATATATAAATAATTTAGAGTATATAGTACAGCACAGGTCCTGGAATCAAGCTGGTTCTGCCAGTTCCTCATGGAATGTTCATCGATTTCATAGCCTCAATATCTTCACCTAAAAAAGTAGGGATAGAGAGGGGGTGACTATCCTCCCCCTTATATCTCTTGTCTCCCAGCTCCTTGAAGTCAAAGATTGTGCCCATTCATTTTTGTATTCTCATCAGGTAACATATATGCTGAGTAAACAAAAAGTGAGGCATAAATTGAACCCATTGGGGGATACATTGTTCATGAAGCTCTTTTCCCAGGTTTATTCCTGACAAGATCACGAATAAGCTTTTCCTATGGAGAAGCTTATGAGAGGTGAACCTAACAATTCATATTGCTGGGTAATCAGGGGAAGAGTCCTGGTTTGGCGGTGCTGTAGCTCTAGCCCCTTCCTTGTTTCTCGATGTGATGAGTGTCATGACATGATTCAGCTAGCTTGGAGAAAGTGAATGGATGGGCCAGTAATTTTTTTAGCCACAGGTCGCCTGTAAGTGCGGAGAACACCAGAAACAAAGAATCTGTTTTGTCTGGTGTGGTTCAGTGTTTTCAGAGGGTGAGTTCCAGCTTGTTTATTTTGAAGCTAATCTTATAAGGACCACAAAATGCTGATACTCTGCGTGGCACTTGTCAGGACTTTAAGATCCGCTGAGGAAAGGAAAATCTGTAGGACTTAGGAAATGGGCCCTTTCAAGGCTTGTTGGTTTTTTCCATTGTGCTGTTTCATTTTTCTACCTCTGCTAACTGCCCCATGTATCAGCTCCTCTCCGGAAAAAACGGCATTCAAGGATTTGGAGATCGAAGTGCTGAGTTGAGCAGTACAGATGTACAAAAAACTTCTTTAAAAAGTCCAATCTCACTGCCTTTGCATTTACCTCTGTGGTGTTTGCCCCAGACAGCTTGTTCTAAATCCATAGTAACCATCTTTTAAATAATTTTTTTTTCTCAAGCATTTTGCTTGGTCAGGCCTCTGGCTCTTTCCTTGTTGTTATGGTTAAGAGACTGAGGATTTATGCTTGCAATACAGTAGATTCTTTCCCTTCTTCTATTTTCTTATTTGGTTAGCTAGTTAATTAAACTTCAACATAATTACATAATTCACTGTGCTCATTCTGTGAAATAATTTAGCACCTTGTTTTCCAGAGCTGTCGGAAAGCAGAAGCAAAGAAAAAGTAATAAGATGAAAATGGAGACCACGAAAGGACAATCCATGAATCATACATCTGCTACAAGGAGAAAGAAAAGGAGGGAAAGAGCCCATCAATATCTTGGCTCTTAAATGTCCAGTGACTTGAGAATAAGAAAGATTTATGGTCCAACCTTTGATGCCATTTTCTGAAAGTGCCACACTGGACTTAAATTCAGCCGCTTCCAGAGGTATGCACCTTTCTGAGCTAGATAACAGGCAGGTGGCATTTGCTGGCTTACAGTCCCTTATCTGCCTCTCTGGAGACTGGGAGTTGTTCCATCTTCAGCCGGTTTACTAGTTCTTTCAGCATTCATTTTTCCTCATTTTAAGTCTCTCCCAGTCGCATTATTCTTGCTCTGTCTCCCAGGCTAGAGTGCAATGGCATGACCTCAGCTCACTACAACCTCTGCCTCCCGGGTTCAAGCGATTCTCCTGCCTTAGTCTCCTGAGTAGCTGGGATCACAGGCACATGCCACCATGACTGGCTAATTTTTGTATGTTTAGTAGAGACGGGGTTTCACCATGTTGGCCAGGCTGATCTCGAACTCCTGGCCTCAAGGGATCTGCCTGCCTTGGCCTCCCAAAGTGCTGGGATTACAGGCATGAGCCACCTCACCCAGCTTGTGTCACATTATTCTAGCCTCTTTAATCTAGAAAATGCAGACAGCATTCTTTTGCAGAAGATGTCAGAAGAAAACGAAAGTGAAAACCTATGAAGTTTGTCTACCTTGAACATAAAAGTATGTTCATTTAAATAGGAAAATATTTTATGTTAAATATGAAACAATAGTTTAAACCCCACTTGAAAAGTACAGTGTACAATTATTTTTAGACTGAATTTGAAGATGATGGAAAGAGTTTTTACAAAGGCACTGTATAGATATAGAGATTGTAATTTTAATTACATTATTATTAAATATTTATTTTCCATGTACTTTTTGCAGTTGTCTTTTGATGGTCTAGAATCACTTAAATGCTTGTTGAATGAGTGAGATGTTTAGAACTAAGACTTGCTCTGTCATTCCAGTGTCTTTTAACCTATGCAGTCAGTTTCTCTCTTTGTAAAAGTAGTTCGGAGCAGAAGTCAGGAGAGTTTAGTAATTAAACTCCTCATTCCTACCCTTAACGTTTCCTGGCTGTATGATCTTGGCCAGGCCACTCTCTCTCTAAAAGCCCTGGTTTCTTCATTATTATAATGGAGAGAATATCAGCTATACCTGAGGTTTGTTTTGTGATTAAATTTTAAATGAGACCCAAGTGCTTGGCTCTCAGTTCTCCTCTGTCATTGGTGAGTTATGTTAACAATAAAGATTGTTACTGGGGTCTAATGGTGATTATCTTTTGGCCCGAAAACAAAGCACTTAACTGCAGTAATTTGAACTCCCAGAACAAACAGTTCATCTCCCCATTTCTCTGCTAGTTATTATCTCCTTAAGACTGAATTGTTTTGAATGACTTATATTTGCATAATGACTTTTCTCTTGTTTCCAAACAACTGCTATAAAGCAGATTTGAAGGCATCTTTGTTTGGGGTTAGCCAGAGCCCTGTAAGGAAGGGTAGAGGAACTGCACTCTACCTGGTATTTAAATTCCAGGTAAGTTAGGACTGATGCCTGGTGTAGAATACTCAAGTGTGGCCCAGATCCGTGTGGCAGTGGTATACCTCAGTTGACATCAAAAGATGAGTTATACCCCTGGACTTCATAAGCATCAGAAAGCTGCTCTTCTCCCCTTTGTTACATGGAGTGCTATGATAGGAGGGGCACATTTGGAGGTGACTGGGTGAGATATGAACTTTGTAAAAACCATTGTGAGAGTTCCCCTCTCTGATTCAAGCAAGGATAGGGACATTGCCTGACTTTATGGTGTTCACCATTCCATGATAAAATCTATTGAAATCTCTGAAACTAAGACACCTGAGGGACTGTGACTACTGAAAAATTGAGTTCTGAAGGCCAAAGTTATTCTCATCACTATATTTCCTTAATTTTAAGATACCATCAGTTGTAAAATACACCATTGATTTTATCATAGCTTTTCGGGGGAGAAGAGAAATAATACTTCATTAATTAATTTTTAGATTATCTGATTTCAGAAATACTGAAATGCAAATAAAAAAGACACATCTTAGAATTGAGGAAATAGTTATAATCAGGAATAATGTACTTACTTATTTATTTTGAGACAGAGTCTTGCTCTGTCAGACAGGCTGGAATGCAATGGTGGGATCTTGGCTCACTGCAACCTCTGCCTCCCGGGTTCAAGCGATTTTCGTGCCTCAGCCTCCTGAGTAGCTGGGATTACAGGTGCCCACCACCACACCTGGCTAATTTTTGTATTATTGTAGAGACTGGGTTTCTCCATGTTGGTCAGGCGAGTCTCGAACTCCTCATCTCAGGTGATCTGCCCGTCTTGGCCTCCCAAAGTCCTGAGATTACAGACGTGAGCCACTGCACTCAGCCAGGAATAGTGTACTTTAAAACTTTATTACTGTCTTAGAAAGTTAAAAATAGGAAATCTGGTGATTTTACACTTACATTCAGTTAATACTAATTTTAAGGACTTAATCTCTATTCCTTTTTCAGAGAATAAACTAATTAGTAGGCTGTAAAAATGTGTCTCTGGGAGGTAGAATGTGAAGCGGGATGAGGTCATTTATTCTTAATAGAGATCTGAACATCTGAACATTAAGATACCTTCTCAAAATAGCAATAGAAGAAAATCCCTGACATTTGACAGATAACATTTTCTAAGCTTTTTAAAAGGACACTTTTAATAAATAATTACAGCTAAATTTCATTCTTCTTCTTGTATTATGAAATTTAATCAGATACAAAGTCTTTTTGTAGGCCCGATTTCATATTTTTTTCCTACATTAGTCCAGTACCTAGACTAGTTTATTACTCCATATGCCCCATTCTTTTCATCTGATACTGTTCTTTCTGCTTGGAATATGTCCCTCCATGTGACCAGTCCGTTCTCATTTGGGAATCTTCCACGAGTCCCTGATACTGAAACCTTCTTTGGCACCTTGGCGTTCTATACTACATTTAAAGCCTTTCACATATTATTCTGTGATTATTTTTACAGATTTTATTTCCCTCAAAGATTTAGGTCTCTTAATGTCAGCACCCATTTCATCTGCTCTTGTGCATCTTGTGCCTTGTTGGTGCTCAATAAAAATTTGATGGGCCGGGCGCGGTGGCTCAAGCCTGTAATCCCAGCACTTTGGGAGGCCGAGGCGGGCGGATCACGAGGTCAGGAGATCGAGACCATCCTGGCTAACACAGTGAAACCCCGTCTCTACTAAAAATACAAAAAGAAATTAGCCGGGCGTGGTGGCGGGCGCCTGTAGTCCCAGCTACTCCGGAGGCTGAGGCAGGAGAATGGCGTGAACCCGGGAGGCGGAGCTTGCAGTGAGCCGAGATCGCGCCACTGCACTCCAGTCTGGGCGACAGAGCGAGACTCCGTCTCAAAAAAAAAAAAAAAAAAAAATTTGATGTAAGAATGGAATTTTCTAGAGTCTTTGAAGTGGTAGGCATGCCTGAAATACGGACTGGACCCACTCTAATATGCTGCTTCTAGGTACTGAAAAAGAAAACAGATTTATATTAGGAGGGACTTAGAGTCAATATGAGGACCACCCTAACACTGAAGTTTTAAACGTGGGGATATGCTGTGCGAAGATGAGTAGCCTTATCTGCAAGGCCCCTTCAAAGTAAACTGCAAAATACTAGGCATCTGGGAGAAGTTTGACTAATCTTGAAATATAAAATCACAACCTACAAAGGGTCCTGGTCTGCTCCCACTGCCTTCACAGTGTCCCTGTTGGTCTCTCCACTGGAGTAGTACATCTGTTGCCAGAGAAATAAAAATGTGTATGCTTGTGTGTTGTTTTTATGCTTCTTTTATGGTACTTAAATCATGCCCTGTATAAGAATGACTTTACATACTTGTTTAGCCCTGTACAGATTAGAAGCTCATTGATGGCAGTGCCTGTGGACATCATTGTGTTTGCTTACTAGGCACGAGAACTGTGCCTCTTCTACAGTGATAGAGATTACCAGCCGCATCACCTGTGACCTCAGTTAATGGGAAGCAGGCAGCCAAGCTAACACATATCTTCCCCCTCTAGGTAGTAGGTGCTCATAAATACAACTGAGTGAATGGAAATGCCATTTAATATCCTGCTTTATGCCTCGCACCCTAACTATGCTATGTAAGAAGCAGGTACACTTCGAGCTGTCTAGGTAGGACAGCTTCCAGAAAATCTAAAGGAAAATCCAGTTTTACTTATTTGATGTGATTTTAATTGGACCATGAGGACCTGGGTTGAAATTACTTGAGGGTCAGCTAAGAAGGTCATTGCAATAAAGTAAAGATAAGATCTCTGCTATTTGATTTCAGGCAATAGTATAAATGTTAACTCAGCAAGATGAGGCAAATAGCACCAACACTGAGCAACAAGATCTCAGATCTCTGAGAGGCTGAGTTTTATCTCAATTGTCTTTGGCGGGACAGTTAGTTACAAGATCCCTGGTTTAGCTGCTTGATACCACTGGATACTAGAAGAGGTGAAACCTGGTGACCTCTAAGATGGTAGGCCTGAATAGATGGGCCACTTTCTTCATCTGCAAGTGTGGAGAGGAGGAGTGGGAGAACACTAGAGGAAGTCACCCCAAACATTCCACATGCTTAAAGAAGACAGGCCAGGTGCGGTGGCTCACGCCTGTAATCCCAGCACTTTGGGAGGCTAAGGGGGGTCCGGGGGAGTGGATCACCTGAGGTCAGTAGTTCGAGACCAGCCTGGCCAACATGGTGAAACCCGCGTCTCTACTATAAATACAAAAAAATTAGCTGGGCATGGTGGCGGGTGCCTGTAATCCCAGCCACTCGGGGCAGGAGAATCGCTTGAACCTGGGAGGCAGAGGTTGCAGTGAGCCGAGATCACGCCATTGCACTCCAGCCTGGGCGACAAGAGCAAGAGTCCGTCTCAAACAAACAAACAAAAATAGGAAAACAAAGGTTGCTGCCTGTTAACTTTACAGTTAATACATGAGCCAGGTAAATCAAGGAAAAATAGAAGCATCTCTAATCCTACCACCCAGAGGTAACCCCTCTTATAACTTCCCTGTCTACTCTTCCAAAGATAGGTTCTTGCATAAGTAGGTTTACAGACACATGCACAAATTTCCCTCAAGAAAATGGAATTTTAATTACATACTGTTTTATGTCCCATGCTTTTTCATAAGTATATTGTGAACATCGATTTATGTCTGCATAGTATTCTTCGGGATAGATACATTTTTCAAAAATCTATGATGGGACATCTAGGTGGTTTGCATTTTTTCACTTTCGTAAATAACCTCATAATGAACATACTTAAGCAAATATTTATTTCTCCTGCCCTTGCCTCCTTAAAAAGCACTGATGCCTGATCCCTGAGCCTTCTTCCCTTTTTCTCTTTATTCTGTGTCACCAATGCACAAATGAGCCAGTTCTTGACAAAGCAGTATTTTCCTAAGGATGGGGGAGGCAAAAAAAACAGAGGAGGTAAAGCTAAAATCTTTATGGGGCAGTGGGAAGAAGAAAAGGCTGGAAACACGATGTGTTAATATTTCTTGCCTTACAGCTACTTTGGATCATTTCCAAGAACAATTCCTGCCCCCTACTGCCTACCAACACACCTGAGGGTCTATAGCAAACTTGTCTAACTCGCAGCCTGCGGCACAGGAGGGCTTTGAATGCAGCCCAACACAAATTCATAAACTTTCCTAAAACATGAGTTTTTTTGTGTTTTTTTTTTTTTTAGCTCATCAGCTGTCATTAGTGTTAATGTATTTTATGTGTGGCCCAAGACAATTCTTCTAATGTGGGAAGACAAAAGATTGGACACCCCTGGTCTATAGCAGCATCAAACTCTGCTGTTTCCTGCCCACACCTGGAACTCCACAGCTATGCTGTTTCCTTTGCTGTAAGGCTTAGGAAATTCATATTCCGTGAAGACTTAATGTGCAGGTGGTTATACTCAGTCCTTTGCAGTACGGTGTTTATGCCTCTGGGAACAGTCATTTTCACGTGCTGTGTGGGTGTTTGTATTCAGGTAAATTCCAGGAAAATGGACACTCAATTTCCATTAGAATATCAAGTGCATAGATACTGGACCCCCACCAGGTGATCCATTATAACCGCCCCAAAACATTAACACCTGAAAATGCGTTTTGTGAAAAACAAAGGCAGATGCATTTTTACCTTAGAAATGTTGATTCTGGAAGAGTTGGGGGCACATGCTAAGTTGTCTGCGGCAAAGGCAAGGGTTGCAAAGCCCCTGAAAGGAAACAGGGTAGGTATAAAGTCAAAGGCTAAGAACAGTACTTGGCACAAAATAGTTACTTGATGCTGAATGAATTAGTCTCCCTCCGTCATCTACTTCCCAGGGGCTAGATCCAGACAAAGGTCTAGAAGATGGGGCCTGTTCAAAGTTAAAGGTCCTGCGGTCTCTTTCTTCTTTGAACAAGTCAAAGGTAGTGAAAAGTAGACTTGCTACCAGAGGGTTTAAGAACCCTAGGATGACACTGTCACATTCTCTTAGGGAGGTCATAGCTGTGGGAACTGTGAACATGTTGACTCATCTAAATGTGTCCTACATAAAGCAACATCAGATGAATTCTGATGTACAAGTCTGCCAGGCTGACCCGTGAGCCTCTGGGCAGAGTTCCTGTCCCATGCATTCGTGTAGCCTCAGTTCCCCCACATAGTAAATGCCAAGAAGAAATCGTGTACGAGCCTACACTCTCTTCGTTATGATGGGTCTGCAACTATCAATATGTTTTGAGGGTTAAATGGGATGAGGTGTCACAGTATTATTTTCCTGTTAGGGAGGTTTTAGGCAGGCGCCTCTTCTCTCTTCAAACTGGAATCACCCGAAGAGTTTTAGTAAATACTGGGCCCATCCAGGGTTAATTTTCTTCTAATTGGTTTGGGGTGCTGCTTGGAGAGGGGGACTTTTAAAATTCTATACTGACCCACCAGGAATGACATGAGAACTACTTGCTTAGTAACTGTCAGAGGAGGCTCCAGCTGATCAGGACCTAAAGTTCATATTCTTTATCATCTCCCCGTTGTTGCTGAAGCCTACCCCATAAACCCCTAACGTCCCGTCGTCCACAGCAGCGAATTTCCGGGAAAACGGGAAACCTATGCAAGCATGCCCACACACGTGCACAAACGCGTTCCCAAAAGCCCCGCGTGCGGCCGCAGGGGCCCGCCCCGCCCTTCTCGGGCCCTTCTGGGTCCCCGCGCCCAGCGATCCCACCCGCACCTGGGTCTGGGGCTCCGCTCCCTCCCTCTCCGCGGCACTCGGGCTTCCCTGCCCCGCCCACGTGCCTCACCCTCCCTCGCTCCGCCCCTCGCTGCTCCCTGCCCCGCCCACGGGCCCCATCCTATCCCCACCTCGCTCCGCCCCTCGCTGCTCCCTGCCTCGCCCACAGCGCCCGGTCCCCGTCCGCCGGGTCTGGCTCTCAGCCCCGCCAAGCCCGGTGCGCGCCGCGCCCCGCCCCGCCTCCTCCTCTCGCGAGGCAGTCTCGACGCCGGAAGTGCCTGGAGCGCGCGACAGCGGCGAGGCGGGGCGGTCTGGAGGCTGTGGCGCGCGGCCGGCAGAGGGAGGGGTGAGGTCGCTGGGGCTGTGTTAGTCACCGGTGGGGACTCTTGCAGGTACAGCCGCGGTCGGGGCTCCTCGTGGAGGGCCGGGAGCTTCTGCCGGCCTCTTACTGGGGTGTCGTTGCAGGGCCGTCCCCATGTTGCGTTTTCCGACCTGTTTCCCGTCCTTCCGGGTGGTGGGAGAGAAGCAGCTCCCGCAGGAGATTATTTTCCTGGTCTGGTCGCCCAAGCGGGATCTCATTGCTTTGGCCAACACAGCGGGCGAGGTGAGTGAGCCGGCGGGAGCCCGCGTGTGCTGGGTCTGCTCCCGGGGTCCCAAGAACACCGAGCCCGAGCCTGTTCTTTCGGGCCATAGGCGGCCGTAGTCTCAGTTTCCCCTTCTGCAGACATGGTGGGCCACCTGCTACCCTTGCCTCCCAGGACGGCAGCAAACTTTAAGTATGTATGCGAAAGGTGATGTCTGTGCTATTTTCGGTACTTTCATGGCTAAAGTAACAGTTTTCACACAGCTTAACACCGTCACGCAATCCTGCTTCCCCAAGTCGTCTTCAGTCATTGGTTTATTAATTAAATGAACTTTTAAAAAAGCGCACGATGTGCCACTCATGAGCTAGACATAGTGGTAGATCCAGGGACCCTGCCCTAAGTTTGCTTACAGTTTTAATGGCAGAAGGAAGAGTTATTATCAAACTTCAGCTGCAGAAGTGCATGCATGTAGCTGCCACAGAGGATATATTTAAGAATCTGGCTTCTCTTGTCCACGTTTTATACTACGGGTTGGATAACCACCTCTAAAAATACCTTTAAATTGGACAAGGAAGGGATGCATTGGATTCCAGAGAGAACGTGCATGAATGTTATCACCATGTCTTGTTCACATTAAATTTCATCGAGTATAAGCCAGTTGTACCCAACTTTCTGCTGAGAGTTACTACCTGCCAGCCATTTTGTAAGGAAACCTTCACCTGTGCATCTTTCCGCCTCTGGCTTGAGAGTTATCTGGCCAGGTGAGAGTTGTATAGAGTCAAATTTGGAAACTAGGTGATAAGGAAATCGTAGCACCCTGCAGACTACAGCACCATGTTATCTGCCATGATCCAGTCGCCGGGGTATTGATGTCTCATTTTTCAGGGCCCTCCATGAAATCTCGTCTCCCTCCACTGCCGGGATGCTTTGAAACTCTGTTGTGGCTCTAGAGAGCAGCAGGTGATACAGCCACAGAAGTAGGAGGGAAGGTAGACAGGAGGCACATCCGTGCATCAGATGGGTAGGTGTGATAGAGGGCACTATTATATCCATTTTCTCAGTGAAGGAAGAAGCAAGGGTATTGTCTATGGGTGAAGATGGAGAAGAATATATTGGAAGTTTGAGAAAGAAGAGGTATGAAAAAGCTAACAAGGCAGGTGGACTTAGGAAGCCTAATAGGATTGCCTGTCAGTGTTACGAGCCACACAAGATCGGTGTTGTTATTTGAGAGACACTGGTTGAATGAGGTTGTATGTGTCTCTCTCCGTTCTGTTTGGCTGTGTGGGTGCAGGCATCGTTGGGTTTAACCAGGATTGTTGTTTTGCAAGTATGACAAAGCAAGAGAAAGATGAAAGAGAGTTGAAGTTATGTGCAAGGGGAGTGATTGTGTTTCTGAACTTTGGGTTCTAACTTGATGAAGGAGGGAAGCGAAGGCAGGGGAGAGGGACAGTAAATAGGTGGTAGAATCAATAGACTGTATCCTGGTGAGGTCAAAGAATTGGAGTTGAGTATTGTAGAGATGAGCTGTAAAGAGGGGCGGTGGATGGAAAGTGGGAAGTGTGAAATGGAGATTTTGGTGGCCCTGCAGTTGCTGGTAATGACCAGGCCAGGGGTATGACCCTGAGAGTGGCTGAGTGCAGTAGAAGATGTGATCACTGGAGGAGAGGCAATTGAGAGCTAGGGCATCATAGCTCTTGAAATCACCAAAAATGAGGATGAGTGTGTTGCTAGAAAGCATAAGGGAGCCAGGTATCCAGATTTTCGAGGAATGAGGGGAATGGCCTAGGGGTCTGTAGAGGACTGCAATTAGAGGGATAGCGGTCGTATGGTGTGATTACATGTGATTCAAAGTTAGGAGATTTTCAAGAAGAGAAGAAATGGCATCAGGCATCAAGGAAGACACCTACTTCATCTCCTGCCCAAGAGTAGCAGTACAAGGGCTGTGGGATACAAAATGGCCACCACCTAGCAAGGCTGCAGGGAAGCATTGTCCTCAGGTGAGAGGCACATTTCAGAGAAAAGTATGAAGATATTAATTTCATGATGACACCTGACCGTGAGCTATAGAAAGCACAGAGGAAGGGTTTCAGAAGTAAGGAATGGCAGGAATGGTTTCAGAAAAGAGAGGGTCAAGTCCAGGAGATGATGTAACCCGGAGTGAAGGGTGCTGTGATCTGTGAGATAAGGCAGGGTCATGGTGGTGAAGCTGAGTGTGGAGATGGGGAGGGGTCTTGGAGGAGCATGTGCATTTTGTGAAGCCTTTTCTTCCTTACTGTCAGTGGTTGTATAGAAGCTGCTACAGGGGCAGTCGTAGAGCTCTTGGGCAACATTTTGATCTTCCAAGGTGGGAATTTACTGGTGTGGAAATGGAGATTTAGAATGGTTAAGTGATTTGTCTAAGATCCATGGCTAGTGAGTGACACAGCTGAAATTAGGTGCCACGTGGACTAATTCCAAGCTTCGTATAATTTGACTATATTACAGCTAGCTACCTTTTTAGTGGTGTTTGTGTTCTTTTATTTCTTTTTTGGTTGTCACCTTGGACAGCCTTCTTTATAAAAGGTAAGTCTCCCGTTGACATAAAAGATTAGGTACAGGGCCAGGCACAGTGGCTAACATCTGTAATCCCAGCACTTTGGGAGGCCGAGACAGGTGGATCACCTGAGGTCAGGAGTTCAAGACTAGCCTGGCCAACATAGAGAAACCCCATCTCTACTAAAAATAAAATATTAGCCGGGTGTGGTGGCATATACATGTAATCCTAGCTACTCGGGAGGATGAGGTAGGAGAATTGCTTGAACCCAGGAGGCGGAGGTTGCGGTGAGCTCAGATTACGCCACTGCACTCCAGCCTGGGCAACAGGAGCGAAACTCTGTCTCAAAAAAAAAAAAAAAAAAAAAAAAAAAGATTAGGTACAGGATTAAATTAGACCTTGTTTCACCCATTTGTTTTAAAAGACCTTGTGTTCATTCAGACACTGTTGTCTTTTTCTATTCTTCTGATAGCTAAGTGAGAGATGGTCATTTAAAAAAATTTTTAGTAAGGCTCTAAGTTTATTTTATTTTTGGAAATGGATTTTTAATTTCCTGCCATTCTATCTGCTTTGTCTTAGGTTTTACTTCATCGGCTGGCCAGTTTTCATCGAGTTTGGAGTTTTCCGCCAAATGAAAATACAGGAAAGGAGGTGACGTGTCTGGCATGGAGACCAGATGGCAAACGTAATGATAATATTACAAAAAATATGTTTTTATTTTCACAAAGAGTATTCTGTAAAGCCCATTTTCAGAAAGGATTTATTGTTCTTTGTATACGTTAGAGTTATAAAGATCAGTTTGAGAATTAAAAAAAAAAATGCCTTAAAATATTTTTATAGAACTCAGAGTAATTCTGCTATCTTGTTTCTTAGCAAAGATATTTCTTAAATAAAATCTAGCTTCTCGGCAGAGAAAACTCCAAAGTGAAATCTGATGGAATATACAAAATGTTTTGGTTTTGTTCTTTCCACTGTCATCTTGTCCTGTATTATTTGGCCCAAGCACCACTTGCCACTCGCCAGTGAGTTAGTTCAAAGCCATCATGGCCTTTTTCTTTCACAATATATTTTCGCACGAAATGGGTGGCACATATTCCCTTGGTGCATGTGTGTTTGCCTCACCTGAGGCACTATCAGCTTTGGCCCCATACCTTCCATTTCTGTGTAGGATCTTTCTTCTGGCACCCTCTTATGTTATCGCCTGTTAGGGCTCTGGTGACTGAACTCTCCTTCTCCATGTAACGTTTTTACAGTGACAGTCCGTATTGGAACTGTTGTACACATACGATCAGTGCAGTAAAATGCTGTAAACTACAATTTAAAGTTCATTTATATCATTGGTACTTTAAGAGAAAAGCGAATTGTTTTTGTAAAATATGTGTTGTTCTTTGCTTAATTTTTCTGTAGATAAATATAAACTATTTAAAAATTTTATTGGTGCTTTAAGAAAAAAGTGAATTGTTTTTGTAACATGTGTGCTCCTCATTGCTTTTTTTTTTTTTTTCCCTCCCCAGACGGTGTCTTACTCTGTCGCCCAGGCTAGAGTGCAGTGCAGTGGTGCGATCTCGGCTCACTGCAACCTTGGGCTTACTGAAATCTCCACCTCCTGGGTTCGAGCAATTCTCCCTCAGCCTCCTGAGTAACTGAGACTACAGGTGTGCACTATCATCCCTGGCTAATTTTTGTGTTTTTTCGTAGAGACAAGGTTTCACTGTGTTGGCCAGGCTGGTCTTGTACTCTTGGCCTCAAGTGATTTGCCCACCTTGGCCTACCAGAGTTTGGGGATTACAGGCGTGAACCACTGCACCTGGCTCTCATTGCTTAATTTTGTCCCTAGATAAATATAAATAAGTACTTAAAAATTCCCTAGGCTGAGCGTGGTGGCTCATGCCTATAATCCCAGCACTTTGGGAGGCTGAGGCAGGTGGATTACGAAGTCAGTAGTTCAAGACCAGCCTGGCCAGTATGGTGAAACCCCATCTCTATTAATAATACAAAAATTAGCCAGGCGTGGTGGCAGGCACCTGTAATCCCAGCTTCTCAGGAGGCTGAGGCAGAGAATTGCTTGAACCCAGGAGGTGGAGTTTGCAGTGAGCCGAGATCACACCACTGCACTCCAGCGTGGGCTAC